GTCTGGCGAGCGCAGGCGCCCTATAGCGAAAACCTCTCCACAAAAAAAAAAAAAAAGAGAGAGAGAGAATAGAGGAGAAGGGATTGCGGTGTGGCCATCCCCTCTGGGGGGTGATTTCTCGCTTTCTGTCTCTCTGTCTTTCTTTTTCTTTCTGGCGAGCACACGTGCCCTATAGAAAAAAACTCTCAAAACACACACACACACACACACACACACACAAACAAAAACAAACAAACAAACAAACCCAAAAAACTGCTATAGGGCACATACACTTACCAGAGAGAGAGATGGAAAGTGAGAAAGCAAGCAGTCGGGTCTGGCACAGAAATTGCAGTCAGCCATGTGGGAGTCCAGCTCTTTAATCACCAAACCACCATGCCACCTTGTGGCTCCGCAATTCGGCTTTGTTTTGAGTTTTTTGAGATTTGTTTCTTTATTAGTTGTACTTAATCTCTGGAAAACCTGAATATTCAGGTCACTCTGATTTAGAAAAATGTGTAGTTATCCCCACAAGGCACCAGGGGGCACTACAAACATGATCAACTAGTTTCTTAGAAGCAGCTGTCAGACCTGAAGGGTAGAGAGCAGGCGAATCTTCATTCCTAGTGCACAGGGAACCCAGGTTTTACTCTTAGTTTTTTTCCATCACAAGGGAGAGGGGCAGGACTTTTTGCAGATTCCCTTCACTGGTTGACGGAGGTTTTCTAGTCTACTGTTTCCCTGAAGATGCAGCCCCTTCCAGGGTCTCAGCTTAATTTATGAGTCTTGCATTCAGCTCCCCTGTTGGAGGTAGACTCAAGGTCCAGTCTTCTCACAGTTCCTGAATCTCCAAAGTCATGGAGTCAGTGTTTGCCCGGGACAGTCCCAGTTCTAACACCCTGGTTTACACTCACTACTGGTTTTGGAGGGGTCCTGGTATGTTCCCTTACTTCTTCCAAATTTAGCATTGGTTTTATTTTTTATGGCCAGAGAGTACATGTGCTCATAAGAGAGGGAGAGAGAGAGAAAGAGAGAGCCCTCCAGAGCCAGCAGGTGGTATGGTGGTTAAGGTGCGGGACTCCCACATGGCCACTTGACTGTGGGTTAAGTCCCAGACCTGGCAGCTTGCTTTCTCACTTTCTTTCTTTCTTTCTTATGAGAGATTTTTGCTATAGGGCACATGCGCTCACCAGAAAGACAGAGAGAGACAGAGAGCAAGAAACCCCCCCCTGGGGGGGGATGGCCACACTGCAATCCCTTCTCCATTCTCTTCCTGGGATCTTGGGCACTGACTCACACACTCCCGGTAGGAATTTGTGTCACCAGTTCCGGGTCGACTACATGGGAGTCCAGCAACATAGCCATTACACCAACTGCTGGTTCCATCTTTCTCACTTTCTCTCTCTCTGGTAAGTGTATGTGCCTTTTAGCAAATTAAAAAAATAATAATAATAAAATCAAATAATAATTTTTTTTTAAAAAAGGGAAAACCTCTTTAATGGGCCGTGGTCATGAACCAAACTTTTTTTCTTCCATTTCTTCATCCCATCAGGATTTTGTGCAGACACACATATGTACTTGCCAAATTTCTCAAGCCAAGGCTGAGTTTCGAACTTCAGTGGACCATGCAGGATCCAGTTTTTCATAGTGCTTAACCACTGTGCTATGGGTCTGGTCTAGCGATAGATTTTTTTGTTTTGTGTGCATGTGTTTTAGTTTGCTAGAGGGTGTGTACTCTCAAGAGAGGGATAGAGAGAGAGAGAAAGTGAGAAAGCATCTCTCTCCGGGAAACAATCATGCCACAATCCTTTCTCATCTATTTCTCCCTCCTTATGGAATTTTGGGCACCCATACACATGCACCTGGCATGTTTTTCAAGATACTGAGTCCAGGACTTGAACCATGTGGTTGGCCATGTGGGATTCAGCTGCCTTAACCACCACGCCACCAGCTGGTCTTCCAACAATGGTCTTAAGGTTACATCTAATATAATTGCTCTAGAATCTATTGCTTTGTAGTAGAAAGGCTCTATGTAAAGTCTAGAGCACTTACCTGCTAGAGAAGAAGTTGGGAAGACCAGTTTCCTTTTTTCATTTATGCATTCACTCACTGGTTCAACAACTCTTATTGAGCACTTCTGTAGGGAGAGTATTTTTGTTTTTAAGCTTCTTTATTTATTTCTTCCACGAATGAGAGAGACAGAATTCCCCCACAGAATCTTGGCACCCTTATCCACCCCCAGTCACAGCCAGCCCTGAATAATGGACACACTTGGGAACCAGCAGTTAGCGTAATGGCTATGTCGCTGGACTCCCACGTAGTTGACTGCGGTTCACGTCCCGGACCCGGTGGCCTAAAACTCACGTCAGGCGCGTGTGTGTGCATGCCCAAGGTCCCGAGAGGAGAATGGAGGAGAAGGAATTGCGGCGTGACTATCCCCCCCCGGGGGGTGATTTCTTGCTTTCTGTCCCTCTGTCTCTCTCTGTCTGTCTGGCAAGCGCACACGCCCTATAGAGAAGACCTCTCCAAAAAAAAAAAAAAAAAGAATTAGGATTACTGAGTCAGAAATCCTAATGTTTAAAAAATAAATAAATAATGGACACACTTGTTCCCGGTGTATCCAGGGAGGTCCCCAGGCATGAACCTGGAACTTTCTCATGTGGGCCCGCCTCACAGAGCTTTGCATTTTACGGCCACTTCACCATTCAGCCCTCCTACCTAGAGGTTTTCTTTTATTTTTTGTTTTACAGTTTTTGCTGCGGGGCACCTGAGCTCACAAGAGAGAATGAGAGAGAGAGAGAAAGAGAGAGCGAGAAATTACCCCCTCCCAGGGGGGATGGGCGCACCACAATCCTTTCTCCTCCATTCTCCTCTAGGGATTTTGGACATCTACACACACGCCCCAGTGTGTGTGTTCTTCAAGCTGCCAGGTCCAGCAGACTCGAACCACTCATTCAGACATGTGGGATCCAGCCACCTTAACTTCCATACCACCTGCTGGCCCCCTAACTAGAGTTTTGATGATGAGCAAAACCAGCAGATTCTCGCTTTATGGGGCTCATAGTTTGGGAGGGAGATAGAGAAAGCCAAAGAGTCGCCCAAACGAGTGTGTAATTACAGTGTTTAAGGTGTTTGTCCAAGTTATATAGCTCTTTACAGTAACCCTCATGTATATGTCACCCCCATTTGTAATCTCGAACTAGGTTCACTCACTAGGTCTTAGTTCTTGGGGGTTTATTTTCTCTTAATGAGTCCTCAGATATAATGACAGCCTCGAATAACATCTGTTCATTCCTTACACGATTTCATGTGTGTCCTACGAGACTGCCGATCTAGCTTTAAACGTATCTGCAGCCATTTCCTGCCCAATCTTTGTTTGTCTTTCCAGTCTCCTTTCCAGCCGTGTTGGGTCTTCTCGCTGGGCCTCTGTGCAAGAGGAGTGAGTTTTCTCACTGATCATTCCATGCTTAACCCTAAACTCACCTCAGGGCTGTTCTCCCAACTGGCTAGCAGCCCTTAGCATGGGTTTGTGGAAAGAACTCCAGCCGGGTCAGCCAGTGGTGTGGGAGTTGGGGTGGCTGGATCCCACATGGCTGACCGTGTAGTTGGAGTCCTGAGCCCAGTGACTAGAAAAACATGTCAAACACGTGTGTATGTGTGCCCCAAACCCTAAGAGGAAACTGGAGAAGAAGGAATTGCGGCACGGCCAGGCCCCCTGGGCGGGGCAGGGGATGATTGTTCACTTTTCCTCTCACTGTTTCTGTCTTCCTCTTTTCCGATGAGCACACATACCCCCCCAAAAAAACCTTAAAAAGTAAAAATAAAGAAAGGAGGGGCCTTTAGGGGGGATGAGGATTAATCTCCACATAAGGAGGTCCACATGATGGAGGCCCCATGACTGAAGCCTGGTGGGTTTATAAGGAGGGGGGTAAAACAGGGACACACAGGCGTGGACATGCTCTGCTTAAGTGCTTGCTGTGCGACACCTGCACCGCCTTGGGACCTCATCCACAGGAAGACCCTCTTCAGGTGTGACTTTTTTTTTTTTTAAAGAATTATTTATTTAATTTTATTTATTCATTCGTTTATTTTAATTTGACCAGAGTGGGGGAGAGAGAGAGAGAGGAAGTGAGAAAGCAAGCCACCAGATTCAGGACTTGAACCATAGTCTGCCATGTGGGAGTGTCAAGTGCCTTAATCACCATGCCCCAGATGTGACCTTTTGACCTTGGGCCTCCAAAACCATGAGCTAATAAACCATGTGTGCTTTTGACCTTGGGCCTCCAAAACCATGAGCTAATAAACCATGCATTAACTTAAATAAATTATCTTAAATTACTTAGACTCATGTATTTTGTGTTATTAGCAACAGAAAGACTTGAACAGAGAGAGAGAGAGGGAAAGTGAGAAAGCAATCCATCGGGTCCAGGACTCAAACCATGGTTGGCCATGTGGGAGTGTCCAGCTTTGGATGGACCATCACGCCACCTGCTGGTCCCCAGAACACATACTTTTTTCTCATATTTCTCTAGCCAGAACTTAACCTCTGGCTAGACCTCATTTAACTGCAAGGGAAGCTGGGAAATGCAGCCTTGCTCAGCAGCCTCATGTCCAGCTGTGTGCTCTGAAGATGGCCTGGGCGCCAGCAGTCTATGGCACACGATCAGTGAGTGAGAGTTCAGACGGACATGTTAAAGGGGCTGAGCCTGGCAGGTCTAGCCAGGTGAATTTGAACGTATGTGACTTAGGGTAACTGTGCAGGCCCACAGAGCAGGGGAGCCAGCTACCTGAGTTCTGGGGTTGGAGGCTCAGATGTGTCTAAGCAAGTTGTGACTCACCAGCTGTGTGATCCGGGACAGGTTACATAATGTCTCTGGGACAAGGACATCTCCTTGTAAACTGTGATAATAATACTCTGAAAGTCCCTGTAGGGAGGTCTCAGTAAATGTAGGAATTCCACAAATTCAGGTCAGCCTGAGGGGAACTCAGGTTGACCTTAGACTAGACTGGGACATCAGGGGCATAAACGATGCTTAGCTTTATTGTCAATAAAAAGGACCCTCTTGGTCAGTTTTTAATTCCCACTTAGCAGTTGAGGTGGATAAAGAAAATGAGTGACTTCGGGTGGAAGAGGACAAGGCAGACACCCCAACCTTTGGTGACTCCTTTGGCACCCGAAACAGAAGCAGGTGTGGGGCTGGAGTGGGGGAGTAGACGCCTGGGGTGCAGCCGACACTCGATTTAATAATTCGTTGAATGATTAGTGTTCAAGCATTGGGTTTTGTGCTGGGGAACAACCAGAAGTATAAACCCTGACCCCAAGGCGCTCATGGTCTACCCGGGAAGCCAAGACACAGATGAACAACTGTGAAGATGCGCAGGCAAGGGCTATAACGCAGTTCGCAGGCTGGGCGGGGTGTCTCGGAACCCCCAGATCAGCCTGGGGCAGGGGGAAGTGAACAAGGAAGGACTCTGGGAGACCGTGCTCAGCCTGGTCTTGGAAGAACATGGGGACAATCAATGGGATGATGGAGTCGCCCTGGCTGGTCCTGCCTTCCAGACTAAGGGCAAGGAGAGAGCATAGCTGTTCAGGGTCCATGAAGCGACAAGGAGAGGAAAGCCTAGCGGGGAGGGAGGGTTGGGGGAGTGGGCTTTTCCTGAAGGTGACGGGAGACTCCTCCGAAGGACTCTGGAGGGAGGAGACAGGGTGGAGCGGTGGTAGGTCGCCCAGTGTGCTGCTACTGGAGTCCAGGGCAAAGGGCCATGCCAAGGCCCCTAGCCAAGTCTCCCAGACCACTTCAGAGGTGACACTGCAGCTTGGTGCTGGATGGGCACCAGCACCACTGGCTCGTTCATTTTGCCTTGAAGCCCCTGCTTCACAGGGGTCATAGGAGTCCAGGCAAGTTGGACTGGGAGGCCAAGCTCAGCCTTGGATTCTGGGCCGAGCCTGGGACCACTGGCTTCCTGCTCTCACTGGCATCTCCCCAGGCCTGGTCTGGGGGTGGGTGGTGCTTTGGCCAGTAAGGGCTAAGCCTCTTGCATTTGGCTTGCAAGCTGGCAGCTTTCACCTTGGCCCCCAGTCTTGGAGGTAGGTGGCGGTCCAGCGGGGGAGCTGGCATTGCCTGGCCAGGCTCATCCCCAGAAGCGGAGAAGATATTCGTAACTGAGGAAGGTGACAGCATTGACGGGAAAGGCACGGGCGCTGTTGATGGTGAGCCCTCGGAACAAGACCCCGGGTCCTTCCTGCCGGACGCTGCTAACTATGCAGTCCAGCATGCCCTGGTACGCCCGCCGCCTCAGTCCGTCCATCTGCATCCGTGACTTGACCACATCCAAGGGCGTGGCTGTGGCCCAAGAGGCGATGCCCGCGAAGCCCCCTGCCACCAGCACTGTGGCTGAGCCTGTGGTGGAGGAAGCCCAGGGCAGGGGTCAGACCGAGCCGAGCTCCTATCCCCCTCCTCCATCTCCCTCCCCTGCCTCCACCACACAGGCCCACCCCTACCCACTCCTCTGTCCCCCACTTACTGGGAGTCTGGCCACCTGGTGTGCACTGGCGACAGAGTCCTTCATAGGTGATGAAATAGATCCCCAGTGTGGGGGTGTCCCTGAGCATCAGGGCCCAGGCTCCCCGGAATAGCCCCCGGGGCCCCTCCTCCCGGAAGATGGAGGCCGCACAGTGCACAGGCCCCCGGTACCTGGGTGGCGGGCTCCCCGGCTTGGCCCTCGGCTCTGTCTGGTTTTGTAGTCGAACTTTGATGAGGTCGAAAGGGGCCAGGCAGCAGGCCTGTTAGGAAGCAAATGTCAAGAGCGCAGGTGGGGCTTTGGACGGGTAACTCTCCACTCTGTTAGTGGGCGGCTGCAGGGTGGGCAGCGTTGTCCTGCAGGAACCTCGCAGGCTCCCACAGCCAGGGCAGCCTCCGCCTCGCATCAGCATAGCTGAGCATGGACCCAAGTGCCCGAGGCAGTGGGCACAGGCCACCTCCCTTAGCAGCAGGCCCCCGACCACCAGTGGCACTTCCCTCTCTTCATGCAAGACTGAGTTCGCCTGGCAGACACCAGGTACTCAGGGACAAGCCTGGATGATTTTTCCAGGAGTTTGGGTAGGTCTCTGGCCTCCCTGAAGCTAGAGGTGCACATGCGTTTGCAGTAACTGGGCCTGAACTCAGCCTGTGACCGTGAAACAGCACAGAACTGATCCTGGCCCCGGGGAGAAGGAATTGCCTCAGCAGTAATGTTCCAACTTCACAGATTGTCCTTCCCTGACCTGCATGGAGCTCAGAGGCCCCCGAGGGGAACAAGAACTGAGTCAGCCCTCGCTGTCTCTCACAACCCCTGGCCACTCGTGTCCCTACAGACTCCTGAGTGCAGGAAAATGGGTAACAGTTAGGATTTGCTGGGTCCTGGACCTCTTATCACTGGCTGAGGCAGAGAGGACCCAGGTTTGGGTTGCGTTGAGACTAGGCCCTAGGGGAGGTTCAGTGCTGGGGGATGTGGAGCAAGGTTACAGGGGCGTAATAACGAGGCCAAGGTAAGCTTGAAGTTCAGGTGAGAACTAAGGTCCATGCTGAAATTAGCACATCACAGGGGCTTTGTGTTTCTGTTGGTGGGTTAGCTGGTGGGTAGCTGGTGGGTAGCTGGTGGGTAGCTGGTAGGTTAGCTGGTGGGTTAGCTGGTGGGTTAGCTGGTTGGTTAACTGGTGGGTTAGCTGGCGGGTAGCTGGTGGGTAGCTGGTAGGTTAGCTGGTGGGTAGCTGGGGGGTTAGCTGGTGGGTTAGCTGGGGGGTGGGTGGGGGGGTGGGGGGGGGGGGACTGAATCTGAAATATTTCGAACGAATGTGAATTGGAAACATTGATGCTAATATTTTTGTGGTCACTAGTATTGGGTCACATCACCTGAAAAATATTGAACTATAATATTTTGACTTCTTCAGTCATTTATTTTTATCAAATAGTAAAATTATTGGCATGTAGCAACTACTTAAGAAATTGAATGGAGTAGATTTTCAAAAGTTGAATAAATAAAATCAATATTGATGGCCTAAATACAGCAATTGAAAGACAGAGATTATCAAAATAGATTAACGCATAAGACCTAAATATAAGTTTTCCACAAGAAATCCACTTTAAATATGAGACATATTTTTCAGACACACAGATGTTAAAAATAAAGTGATAGAGGTAGATATTCCAGGCAAAACACTACTCGAAAGAAAGCAAGGGCAACTGCATTAATTTTGGACACGGCAGTCACTAGAGTAAAGAAAGTTATCAGGGTTGAAGAGGAATATAACATAAAAGCAAAGTGGTCAATACTTCAAGAAGATATAGCAATCCTTAATGTTTAAGCACTGAACTACAGAGCGTTAAAATATTTGGAGCAAACTGATAAAATTGCAGGGAAAAATAGATTAAGTTTGCCCTTAGGGCTGAAGCTTATAACACTCTTCCATTAGAAATAGACAGATCCAGGACATACAAAATCTGAATATAGCTAAACTCAGCACGATTAGCCAACAGGATACTCAGACATCTACTGAGTACTTTCTTTATCAGCAAGAACACCAGCTCCACTTAGAATGTTCACCAAAACAAGAGCACATTTTGTACCATAAGCCACACCTTAACAAATTTTGAAAGAATAGAAATCATACAGTGTATGTTCACACACCACAATTAAATTAAACTAGAACTTAGTAACAGAAAAATAACTAGAACATTCTAAAATACTTAGAGATTAAACAACATACTTCTAAATATTATTTGACTCAAAGAAGAACTCTGAAGAGACATTTTAAAATATTTTAAACTAAATAAAATATAAATACAATTTATCAAAATTTGTGGAGAGTGGCAAATGCAGAGCCCTGAGGGAAATTTGTAGCATTGAAAGCATGTAAAGAAAACTGTAGTTGATCTTTTAAGCTTACGTTAGCTGGTGGGTTAGCTGGTGGGTAGCTGGTTGGTTAGCTGGTTGGTTAGCTGGTTGGTTAGCTGGTTGGTAGCTGGTTGGTAGCTGGGTGGTTAGCTGGTGGGTAGCTGGTGGGTTAGCTGGTGGGGAGCTGGTTGGGTCGCTGGTGGGTTA